AACAAAAAAATTTCAAAAACTTTTGTTAAAAAAAAAATAAAAATTGGCAGGGCCGTTTGGGGCGCATTGCCCGCCCCACCCACTAGGATTTAAAAAAAAAAAAAAAAACTTTTTGGCCGTTGCTACTAGGAGTGAGCATCGGTCGGTTTTTGGTTAATAACCGAAATAATAATAAAAAAAAATTACCCTTCTCATAATTGACCGAAATAACTGAACCACTAATCATAACCGAACCGATTGAAAATCGAAACTTTCGATCGGTTTCGGTTGATTATTTTTAACTGAACTTAATGACCTAACAGACTGTAATTTCTTTAAAAATATTAGTCTAAACTCAAAAATATTAACACTAAAAACACATTACTAGTTAAAGTAGTCAATCACACAACAAATGCAAAATCAAATGTCCAAACAAATCTTAAGAGTCCATGATTTAAAGTATGCCCCAAATGAGCTCACTGCCAATGTGCCAAACTCACTTGTTGTCCTTATTTTTCTTGCTAGCACAAAAGCCGAATAGTCTATGATGAGAAGAAGGTCTGGCTGGCTGGCTTAGTTAATGCGCTCACACTGGTTCGTTTTATTTTGTATCATTTCTTGCCTTTTTTGGATTATACTGTGTTTTAATATAGTAGTATAATATCTACAATCTACAAATCTAATAAGAGCCAATAATGTTGCTGGTGGATAATTTCTCAATGTGGTTTAAGTAGCCAGAATTTACAATTTTTTCCTTGCAGTGTTGCAGCTGGTTAAGGACAAGAGAATGGAAAGCAAGAGCTTCTTGTTCAGTTGTTCCCAAACCTTGCCTCTTCAGGATCAAGCAATACAACGTTTTGATCGTTCTGCACGAATCTCTTTCAGTTCCCAGCCACAACCACCAGACTAGACAACGTTTTGAATGTGATCCATGAACCCATAACTCAACAGAATGGTGACAAAACTAGCTGAAGAGGAGCACAGATTCATGATCCCCTCAAGGCTACTTAATTCTCTGGTTTTAGACGAAAACAACAATTTGGGATCCAATACATTCACTAATTCCCCAGCCCCTCAATCTCTAATGATCATTTGCCTGGTGGATTCATCCCCAGAATTGAAGCCACACATTGCAGAAACTCAATGGCACATATCTGTGTAACCTCACAAGCTTGATGAACCCCCCTTCCTCAACCATGAACCTCATGATCTCCTCAACCCCAACAAGATTTCTCAACACCCTACAAGCCAAGGCAACCAATTCATCCCTACACTCACTATTGGACCACATTTTCAACACTCCACCTTGAGCTGAAACAGACCAGCAGCCATTATCAAAATTCTCTGTCACCTTCTTTCTGCAAACAACACCTTGTTGCATACTCTTTACTCAAATCACTCCCACTCTCCAAAATTCTAATCGCTGGCACAATTATCCCACCCCCCTTAAGCTTGAAAGCCTGCAATATAATTACTTGACACTGCTTTGGAAGCTTTCTTAATTTTCTGTTTTTATTTTTATTTTTACAACATTTATTCTAATTTTAGTCATGCATAACAAAATAAAATAATCATTTCAATTCCTGCATGCCAACTATTAAATATGCAAAATAGTTTTACCAAAATATATTCCAATTACTAACTACTTATTTCTCATGTTCAAACCAAACACACTATTAAAAATTTAAAATTTTCCTAAGATTACATCAGTATAGAAAATATTTGCTAACTACAAAAAAGAAAAAATAATATATCTATGCTACTAAACAATCTCAATATCTAGCGTTGAATTTCTTGGATAATCAACTTGGGCAGTGTACTTTTTCCAGAACCAATGGTGTTTCCAGACAACACTCATGTCTTCAATAGGAATGTTCTTCGTCTCCGGCACCAGGAAGTATACAAACACAGTCATGGCAACCACGAAACAGGCGAAGAAGATGAACAATCCAAACTTTAAGTGACACAGCATGTTGAGGAAGACTTGAGCGACGAAAAAGGTGAAGATCATGTTGACAGAGACGTTGATGCTCTGAGCCGCTGATCGGATCTCCAACGGGAATATTTCACTGGGCACGAGCCAACCCAAAGGCCCCCACGACCATGCAAATCCAGCAACGTATGTGCAGATGAAAGTCACCACCACTGCAGCAAACCATTTGGGCAAATCCCCAGGATTTCCACTGGTTCCAAATTTCACCCCAATGCAAACTGTAACAATAATCTACAGCAGCAGATTGTTTAAATTAAACAACATTAATCAATCTTATTAATTAATTAGTACACATTAATATGGAAGGTTGAGATAAAACTGTGAGTATAAAATGATTTATGTTACCTGGCAAATAAGCATTTGAATGCCACCTAGAAGGAAGAAGAACCTTCTCCCAGCTTTATCAACAAACCCAACCGAAACAAAAGTGGCGAGAACGTTAACGACACCGGTAATCACAGAAGATACAAGAGAAGCATTGCTTCCAAACCCAATGGTTTTGAACAAGACCGGGGCATAGAACATGATGACATTGATGCCAGTGAGTTGCTGGAAGAATGGAATCATCATTGACATTACGAACTGGGGCCTATACTTCCTTTTCACGAGGTTTGTCCATGGATGCTTGATTTGGTTAGAAGCATAGCTAGCAGCAACCAAGTCGTTGAACTCTTCGTCCACGTTGTCTACTCCCCTGATTCTTCTCAACCTGGATTTGGCTTCGCCGTGGTTCCCACGCTCAATCATGGAGTTTGGGGTGTCCGGGAGGAAGATGGAACCGATTGTGATGATGAGAGCAGGAACCACCGCGCCGCCCAAGCTCAGTCGCCACCCCCACGAGATCTTGGCGAAGAAATAGTTGGCCACATTGGCTATTAAGATCCCCACTGTGATGAAAAGCTGGAAGCCAATGTTGAGTGCTCCTCTGTATTTTGATGGCGCCATCTCAGATAAATAAAGTGGAACAGACTGCACAATACAAACAAAAAATTTAAAAATAAAAAATTCGGTCAATTCTTGAACAAGGGAATTTCACCTTGCCTATTCCCCAGCCGCTGCTGCATTTAGTACGCAGTTATATATTATACATATGTTTAAAAATTCTGCATTATATTATATTCATAAGTAATGACGGTTGGTGTAATATACGATGATAATATAATCGTGTATATGTATACCTCTGATCTGTTTATATACTAAATCCAAGTCTACTTATATTGTGTTATGATTAACCTTAGCTCTCAAGCATATATGTAAACATTTTTAGTATATATAACGAATCTAATTGGTGATCGAAGAATACCTGATTGGCAAATCCAATGCCAAAACCCAGCAAAACACGGCCAACGATCAACATCCAAAGAGCTTGAGCGAAGCCGTTGAGGAGAGCTCCGATGCAGAAGATGAAACCTCCGGCCATCATGGAAGTCCTCCGCCCCAATTTTCTGGTGACATACGAGGCAACCATGGAGGAAACCAGGGCGGCCAAGTACAACGAAGACGTAAACATGGTTAGAGTTTCGCTGTTAAACTTACAGTACTGATTCGTGGAAGAATCCAGGCTCTGCTTTCTATAAACATCCGGAAAAAACCTTTCCAAGAAGGTATCCATTGAAGTCACACCCCCTACCAGAAATCCAAGAAACATATATAACATCAATTTTCAATAACTTATTAAGATAACCAGGCCATTAAACTTTATACATATATATGTCGGAAAAAAACTTGTAATTATATATACCTGAAATCCCGATATCATAACCAAAAATCAGACCACCCATGGCAGCCACCATGCAAGTAACAATGACATATCCAGTAAGTTTTCCGGGATATTCCTTGGTAGATGCATGAGCAATTCCACCGCCAGCCATTGTTGGATTACCAAACTAAAGAAAACCAACAAGAGAATATATAGATTATAACAGTATGCAATAGGAGGAAGCTAAGCTAGAGAAGCAATGAGAAAGTAAGAAGAGATCCAGGTGTATTTATAGTTTGGATTAGATACTATTACCAGTTATAATAGGACAACGCATACAGTTCGATTAAGAATAGAAATTTTTGTTTCCAAAAAAAATAAAAGAATAGAAATTCCCAGTTCGATTAAGAATAGAAATTATAATTCAAGTAGACTACACTATCTATAGCTTCCTAAAAAGACAAAACTATCTATACACCTACTTAAACAAGAACCTTTTTTTTTTTTTTTTGGAAACAAGAACGGTAATTTACTTGTTTCTCAAGTTAAAATCAAACCGTACAACTTTGTTTTGTAAAAAATTATATCATGGACCCAAGATCCATTTTGCTACATGGATCTTAATTATTAACATATCTTTATTTTTTATATATTGTCTATTTTTTTTATTTATAAATTTATTATATTTTGGTATAAATTTATTTTTAGATTATTACAACTTATATCATGAGTTTATTTTGTTACGTAAATCCTGATTCACGGTATAAGCATTTGTTTATGTCTACGTGGGCCATGGGGTTTCAAAATTCAGCCCAAGTTGGTTTTCAATATTGGGCCAAGAATGGGGTTTGCAGATTGGGCTAGGGTTCAAAAGCCCAAATTCCTGTTTTGGAAGCGTTATGTTGTGCAACTGTGTGCACCATGCGGTTGCAAAAATGATGTCGTTTTGACGTTTGACTTAAAAAAAATCAGTTTCGATTGCTGTTAACAGCGTTATGTTGTGCATAATTTGAATTATATAGTTCATTCGTTCTAGATATATAGTTCATTCATTTTAGATAGGGAAAAGGGTCAAATAGGCCCTCAAACTTTAGCTTAAAAGTCAATTAGGCCCCTAAACTTTTTAAAGGTGCAATTACACCCATCAACAATTCATTTAGGTGCAATAAAACCCAAAAACAAGTTAATGACCTGCTATCACAGGTCATTAGTGTTCAGGTCACATTCTGGCGAATTTTTCGGCAAAAAAAAAAAGTGACCAGCAACTGATCCAGATTTGTCGAAAATTTTGCCGTATTCGGGTCCCGGGTCCGGCATTGGGGCACTGCTACAATGTTCGTGCCTAAAACGAAGAAGAAAAGCGGCAAAATAGCGTTTTCAAAATGGCATTGCTTCCCAAAATTAGCGCATTTCTTCTTCTTCGTCCTCTCCTATTCTCCCAAAATCCCAATAAGAAGAAACCCTTCTTTGCTTTCACTAAAACAATGTCGTCATGGACATGCTCAACATGCACTTTCATCAACCCTCCTACCCAGAAATCCGCCTGCGAAATCTGCCTATCCGCCGCACCCGCCCCGTCTCCCTCATCATCCATTTCACCCGAAAAGCCCAAATGGTCATGCGCAGCCTGCACTTTCCTGAACCCCTTCCGCAGCACGCGGTGCGAAATATGTGGGACCAGAGCCTCCGCCGCTTCGCTTTCAACCCTCCTTGAAACCGGCGATGACGATCAGGACGTGGACCCTTCTGTGGGGAGCGTTTTCTTTCCTTTGAGATCCTGTAATAGTAGTAGTAGCAGTATCAAGAAAAAATTAGACCTAGTTGGGTTAGATGATGGGGTCGCTATAGATATTACGAGATACGGGTCGGGCACGGATAGCGATAAGAATGGTTCGTCTGATGCCATTGGGTCCAGGGCTGAGAATAATAAGAGGAAAAGAAGGGAAGAACTGGTTGTGGTTGAGGATGATGGGATTGATTTGCTTGGTTTCAAGGATGTCAAAGCAGGAAAAAAGGTTGCGAATGAGTCACTTAGTAAGTTGGAATTCTGAACTTTGATTGGAATTCTTGGAGAAAAGTTTTATTCTTTTCGCATTTCCCATTGATTATTGCTTGTGATTATCTGTTATTAGGATAAATATTAGCTTTTTTCTTGTGTCTTGCTAGGGTATCTATTTTTAATTAGAAAATATGAGCAAATTAGCTACTTTCATGTTTGAATCTGAACTGTGGGTTTGTAAGTTTCAGATGTTGTAGAGCAAGCTCCTAGCAAAACTTCTTTGCACAGGGATCCCAAAATATTGAAGATTTTGACATACAATGTTTGGTTTCGTGAAGATCTCGAAATGCATAAAAGGATGGAAGCTATAGGTGACCTTATTGAGTTGCATTCCCCTGACATTATATGTTTTCAGGTACATTGCATTCTTTAATCAATGTCCACCATTGCAACATTAAGCTCTTTTGGCTAGGAGACTTATTAATTGAAATATGCAGGAGGTTATTCCCGAAATTTATGACATCTTTCAGCGTTCTAGGTGGTGGAAGGTGTATCGTTGCTCTGTGTCTAGTAACATGGAGTTTACCGGGGCATACTTCTGTATGCAGGTAATTTACTGTGCTTTGTAAGAATAATATGATTCTGGAGATTCGTCTAGTGAGGTATATTTGTGATAACACGATGTTAAGAAAAACTGTCTTCCTGGCCATGTTTTCTAGGAAGTTTAATGTTGCGTTTGTTGAATGAGTATTTGCACTAACTTAAAAAAAAATAAAATAAAAATTGCAGTTAACTAAACTCTCGGTGAAAAGCTTCAGCTCCAAACCTTTTGACAATTCTATAATGGGAAGAAGACTTTGTAGTGCTGAGATTGAAGTTGCAAAAGATCTGAGATTGGTTGTTGCCACCAGCCATCTTGAGAGTCCTTGCCCCGCACCTCCTAAGTGGGACCAGATGTTCAGCAAGGAGCGTGTAGATCAGGCCAAGGCGGCTATCAAGGTACTGGAGCAAAATCCAAACGTTATCTTTTGTGGGGATATGAACTGGGATGACAAATTGGATGGACCATTTCCTTTACCGGAAGGGTGGATTGATGTGTGGACTGAGCTAAGGCCTGGAGAGATCGGATACACATATGACACCAAGACAAATAAAATGCTAACGGGCAATAGGACTCTGCAGAAACGACTGGACAGATTCATATGCAGCCTTCGAGATTTCAAGATTAATAAAATCGAGATGATTGGTAAGGATCCCATCCCGGGCCTGTTCTATTGTAAAGAAAAGAAAGTAAGAAACGAGGTCAAGAAGCTAACGCTCCCTGTCTTGCCAAGCGATCACTATGGCTTGCTTCTGGAGATTCGTCTTCCATAGCTGCTGCATCCTAGTTACCCAGTTTTGCTTTCTCTCTATGCTATTTTGCTTGCTCACCCCCCCCCCCCCCCCCCCCCCCCCCCCCCGCCGCGGCAGTTTTGTATAGGCAACATATGAACGATGTAATGCTGTTCGAGTCTTTTTGTTAAGCTGTCGTTTTCATCAACACATGATCTGTTAGGATAAGAATTAGGTTGATGATGAAGGTGAGGAGGTGAACTTCTGTTAGAGGGTAAGGTTGGATGTACTTTTCTACCAGTCCAAAAATGGAAACTATTATCTTTCTGAGTTCTTGATGTCTATATGAAGCTCAGTTTAACTCTGAATCTCAAGCTCCAAATTTCCATTCAAATTGCATCAGTAAAGATGAATGACTTAACTCCATTCAATGGGACAGGCTATTGTTTATATATTTGTTTATCTATATATATGTATATTTTTTTAAAAAAATAAAAATAAACAATTTTCTAAATACATTGTTGATGAGCCTACTACACTATAATATTATTGCTAGGGTCTAGTTTCAGGGGGCTCTAGAAATTAATATAAAACTTTAAATGAAATAAAAAGAAATATTAAGTAGCAGCTCTAGTGGGAGTAGTTTGTACAATTGTCCTCCATTAGAAGCTGCAACAAACAGCTTCAAAATTTTGCTACAATAATAATGGAAATTGGCATGCTTAGTACTAAGTGCAAATTAAAAACACCCTTAAAATCTCTCATAATCTTGATAAGAATTTTCTTGATATCTTATTGTGTTGGTCTAGTGGATTCTTTTCATCAATATTATGGCATATTGGCATTAATGGAGACAATATTATATATCAGTGCCTGCGTTCATGCATGTGCATATATACATACTTGACAAGCGTGCTTGTGTATATATACATACTTGACAAACGATTGTGACATTGTAAAACCTATAATTTAACCCGAGAAAAGAAGAAGGAAATTACCTAGAGTTAGTACTCTCCAAATGTTCCATGTGTGTGTGTAAATTTATAACTCAAAAACCTCCAAGTACACAACTAACCAATCTTATCTAAAATTAAAGCACCCATAGTCCAGTAAAATTTATTGAAGTGCAAAATACAGAGCCTCAAGCATCTAAAACCCCGACCATGTTGCTTGGCTATGCTGACAAGATTGTAACCAAGATAATTGACAACCTTAATTATTCTGCTCCCTAAAATATTTGCATATACATGAAGATGGAGAGAAGTGAATGGGATGATTGATTTACTGAGATGTTGGACCATTGGTGACATTATGGGTGGCAATTAATACCTGCAGGATTTGTTCATTGCTACAGGTACAATTCAAGTATCCATCTGACTTCCACTACACCAAAAAGCACCACTACAAAACAAATCGTTTTATTATTCATATATCATTTTTTTGAAACAATTATTCATATATCATTAGTTCTTCACATGGGCTGCATGATCAGTTTGAATAGGGCAGTACTCATTTTAGTTTTCTTGAATATATATAATCACTGTTACATATGTAGTTAGTACATATATATATATATAATGCATCATATCGTGAAAAAATCTTGATTAGATTATGCAAACAATCAATTGAACATAGTTTATCAAGTATATATTATAGAGTTAATACTATTTGGAGTGTCTTAAGTCTTAACTATTAACATTTACTTAATTAGGTCCTCTGATCTGTTTAAAAATTTACTTTATAAAATCTCCTGAGTAGTAAAATGTTACCTAATTAGGTCCTTTGTTATCATTTCTGTCAGCGGATCGTCAAATCGAGGAGCAAACTTGTCTTTTCTTCATCTTCCATGACTCGAATCAACCTCTTTTTGTCAGTATGTAACCCATGATTTCTGCCACTCCAAATTAAAGACTGATCGTTTATTTGTACTAGGAATTGCAAAGAGGAATGGAGGGTTTGAGATGTATCTTGACCATGTATTTGTGGACTTTGACTTGTTTTTGCCCTTAAGTTAACTTATCCAAAGCTCCGAGGGGAAGAAAAGACAAGTTTGCCCCTAGATTTCTCACGATAATCGTAATAGAGGATCTAATTAGGTAAATGTTTTAGTACTCAGAGAATTGTTCAGAGTACATTTTTAAACAGATAACTTAATTAAGTAAATTTTAATAGTTAAATAATTCAAACTGGTATTGATCTATATTATCTCATTATTATTTATTTATTTATTTATTATTATTATTATTATTATTATTATTATTATTATTATTATTATTATTATTATATCTGTGAATGGGAAATCATTAACTTTAGAAGGACAAGATTTGACAGATAGACCAGAATGACACCTGGATTTCATAACAATCCCAAAGTTTGCTCATTACAAAACTCATAGTGTATATTACAAAATTGAAAATATATATAGTCACCAACTCCACTACTTCATTTACATATTATATCATCAAATGTACAACCTGATCACATGCATGTATGTATATATTTCTTCCCTTCCCATCAGAAAGGAATAGGTCTTCTTTAATCATGAAGGAAAATTCTATTTGGTCTGCTAGCATTATTTCTGGGATTTCTTTTGGCAGACATGAATGATTGGATTCGAATCAAACTTAACAAATTAAAGTTCCAACTACACCTTTTATAAAATTTCTCAAAGAGCTTACCACGATGTTGGACTCGCCTCTCCGAGCCTTTGCCACACAGTATGTGGGATTCAACCTCTGGCTCATAACGTGCTTTGATACCATTATGTCAAAAACAGCTATGCTGGACTCGGCTCTCTAAGTTTCTGCCTCACAGCATGTGGGATTAATTCGACCTCCTCCCTGTGACTTGCTTTGATATTAATTTGTTAGAATCAAACGGTTATTATTACATCAAAAACTACAAAAAGACATAAATTTATTTCATTCTACACCAGTCAATGCTATGTTTGAATGACATGATGCTAGACTCGACTCTTTGAACCATTGCCAAATTGAATTATTGTGAATATAAATAATGAAATTGTATTTAAGTATATGGCTAGAGATCTGTCAATTCTAAGAACATTTTATTTTATACACATGCACTAATCAGATGACCAATAATATGATTGCATGAGGAGTGGTGGGCTATAAATAGGGGAGGATTTTCAGGGAAAAAGACCAAGAAAGTGAAAGCTCTCAAGTCAAAGAGGTATAGCAGAGAGAGAGAGAGAGAGAGAGAGAGAGAGAGAGAGAGAGAGAGAGAGAGAGAGAGAGAGAGAGCTTTTGCTTGGTTTTTGAAGATAATTTCAGTCATGTCTATTTGTATTCACTTTCTGTGCATGGCTCTTCTTGCTCTGAGCATTGCCATTGAGATGACTGAAGCAGGTTATTATGGAGAGGGTGATGATGGCTTCTGTAACAATGGTGGTTGGCGTGGGTGCAAAAGCTTTTTCAGAGGGGGAGGAGGGGGTGGCGGCGGTGGTGGAGGTGGAGGGGGAGGTGGTAATGGAAATGGGGGTAGTGGTTCAGGACATGGTGAAGGTTTTGGAGCTGGGGTTGGTGTAGACGGAGGTGGCGGTGGAGGTGGTGGGGGGTCAGGTGGTGGAGGTGGCGGCAATGTGGATGGTTCGGGGTATGGAAGTGGAAGAGGATTTGGTTCAGGCGCAGGTTTTGGAGGACGCAAAGGTGGCGGCGCCTTTGGAGGTGGTGGAGGAGGAGGAGGAGGGGGTGGTGGTGGTAATGGAAATGGGGGTAGTGGTTCAGGTCACGGCGAAGGTTTTGGAGCTGGGGTTGGTGTTGATGGCGGTGGTGGTGGCGGTGGAGGGGGGTCAGGAGGCGGAGATGGTAGCAATGTGGATGGTTCGGGGTATGGAAGTGGCAGAGGATTTGGTGCGGGGGCAGGTTTTGGAGGACACAACGGTGGAGGTGGCGGTGGAGGAGGAGGAGGAGGCGGAGGTGGTGGTACCGGGTCTGGAGGAGGGTTCGGTCATGGTAGTGGCTTTGGTGCTGGTTTTGGTGTGGGAGAAAGTGGTGGAGGTGGTGGGGGAGGAGGAGGAGGAGGTGGAGGTGGAGGTTTTGGTTCAAATGGTGGTTATGGTCATGGCAGTGGTTTTGGAATGGGTGGTGGATTCGGTGGCAGTGGTGGAGGTGGAGGTGGGGGTGAAGGAGGAGGAGGAGGAGGAGAAGGTGGTTCCGCCGGAGGCTCCGGCCATGGCAGTGGTTATGGCGCAGGAAGCCAAGAAGGAAACACTTCCGGTGGCGGAGGAGGAGGTGGTGGTGGCGGTGGCGGCGGTGGCAACAATGATAATGGTTACGGTGAAGGTTACGGGCATGGTGAAGGCAGTGGTTTCGGTGGAAGTATAGACAACACATACGGCAATGGCAGTGGCAAAAATGGCGGCGGCGTAGGCATGGGCTTTGGTATGGGTATTGGATTTGGTTTCGGCATCGGTGCCGGCGCCGGCGGCGAAGCTGAAAACAGTGCAAAACCCTAAAAGTTACTCCAATCCTTCATAAGCAATGTTGCAAAGGCCTTAAGCTTCAAAAATGAAGCAAACTCTTTTCTCTCTCAGCTTGCATACAAATGCATGTTAGTAAATTAAAGATGCATTTAGATGCATTATTTCTACCCTCTCTCCACAATATCATTTGTTTTCATAAATAAAAATAAAACTTATTTTACAATAAATTGTTTGTTTTAACACACTTGATCGATTCCATCAAGCATGATCTTTCTAGGACTTATCTTTTTTTTTTTTTTTTTTTTTATTTAAATAATTGATGAAAAGACATAATAATTAAAACTTACTTAATGCACTCTTTTAGTAGTCCCTCTATCAGCCAAAAAAACAGTACAACATGTCTCTTGTTACTACTAGGGGTGTAAATGAGCCGAGCAGCTAGCGAGCGGCTCGGTCAAAGCTCAGCTCGAGCTCGAGCCGAACTCGAACGACTCTTTTAGTAATCGAGCTCGAGCCGAACCTAGATATTCTATGCTCGTGACTCGTCGAACCTCTCGCGAGCCATATAATATATATATATATATATATATATATATATATATATATATATATATATATATATATATATATATATATATATATACACATGGAGTAATATATAAAAATAACAATTAGAAATTAAAATTTTAAACTCAAAATTCCTAAAAGATTTCTATTAATTATGTATAGGTAAAACAAAGTAGTTTGAATTTTAAATCAAAAGTATTAAATAGGTCAAATTCAATGTCAAAATCGAGCTCAAACTCGGTGTCGGCCTCGGTTGGGGTTGACCTCGGCGTCGACCTCGTGGTGGACCTTGGCCAGACGGAGTAACCCGTGGGGGCCGCCACGTGAGAAGGCCGTCCTAGGCCTCGGGCGTGCCCGCGTGACTCGGTCAAACCGTGATCCAAACGCCCACCCTATTCTTGTGGGGCAGTTGGGACTTGGGAGGATTAGCTAGTATAAGAGGGCCGGGCATGCTCTTGTCTTGTTAGGACACCTAAATCTTGTCTTGTTACTACATTCATTTTGTAATTTTCCTATAAAAGCTTATCAATACGAAAGTTGTCTCCGTGACATACATATTCTTTGCCTTTTCCTATTCATCATTTATTAGGTTTAGTGATTCGGGTCTACCCCGAGTAATTAAATCCATCAAGAGCCATGCCGCCTCCTCACCGCCGCAACGTCCCTAGATCATACCAGCCCAAGAAATCCTTGACGAGTTGCTGCTGCAAATGCTTTCTCTTCATCTTCGTCTGCTCGGTTTACGTCATGCGCGGATAGAAAAAGAATGAGTTCTTGCAAATCAAATGAAGATGGGCTAGCTGACATATGTTAGAACTTAGAAGGGGAGAGAAAGGAAATTTAATGGTGTAAAATAATTGATGAATACAATCTTATGAAAAAAAATATATAAACAAAATTTATAACTATATAACATAGGGACTAAATGTGATGCATTATAGATAATTGAAAGACTAAATTTGTTCAAATCAATTAAGAGGGACCAAATCTCTAAAAGTAAAACAATTAAGGGGCTAAAAGCGCGAGTTTCCCTTCTTTATATATTTCTGGGAGACTTTTGGGAGTGTTTTGAATTCCCTTAGTAAGCGTATAAATACTAAGTTCCATTGTAATCTTTACATCACACATTTTTCTATCAATATATAAGTTCTATCTTTCTCTTTTCGTCTATGACTCATATCATATGCTTCCTGTGTTACCAGCGGGTGATAGCCTTGGCAATCCATCAGGCCATTCAACCTATTACTCTAGATTAGTTAACATATTACAATAACAAAACCATAAAAAACTACTAGGACTATGTGGTCTAATGGTATCCGGGTTGGACTTCCATTTGGAAGATTATGAGTTCAAGCCTTAGTGGAGGCGTTATTGGTTCTTTGTGTTTCAGTAGGTTGAGAAAGTATATGAATAGATACTACAATGTAATAGAGCTAGTTACTTTCAGAAAAAAAAAACCACTAAACTGATTTTATTTCATGGAACTAATAAGCCACTTTGGACACACTGCTTTTTATTAATAAGCCAAAACATATTCAATGTTGATTAAATATGAAATGTAACAGAGTTAATGCCAGACTCGTATGCAATTAGAATGTCATTTTCTTCCATGAAAACTGAAGTAAAAAATCAGAATTTTCGTTTTACAGTTACAGTCACTTTTTTATTTTAGTAACATATTGTATTAATTATTCATTTGCAATCTCACTTGTTTATTTGTGCAGCAATCTTGCAGTTTCCTGCTGTTCATAAAAACAGGTCCCCAAAAAATGGATATCAACGAACAAAAATCTACCGTAAGAGACTAATTTACTTAATTAATCAATGAAAAATGTATTTTCATGATCATTATCAAAAAAAAGAAATTAAGAAAGTTGGTATGTTATGTGAATTTCGGTTCCAAACCTTTCCTTGAATACCTAATCACTGCCGGTCTATGAAAACTTCAGCAAATTTTACATCACATGGTTTAAGCTAGCATTACTCCATTCATCTTAATTATCTACTTCAATTCAACATCAACAAAATACATTTTACGTGAATATTTATGAAACTTCATCAAAAAAAAAAAAAAAAAAAAAAAAAAAAAAAAAACTTCACAAATGCAATTCATTTATTTGAAAATAATTTACTAATCTAGTTAAGACATTGGGCACAAATTTTCGCGCAAAGCGCATAGAAAAAACTAGTATATATATATATATATATATATATATATATATATATATATATAATGAAAAAAAAATTAGCAAGGTTGAGCTAATCGGGTTAACTCGACCAAAATAGACGAGTTAACTCAACTAAGTTAGACGCTAGTCGGCTGTTTAGGCGGCCAAGTCGACCGAGTTAGGCACTAGGCGGCCGATCGCCACGGTGGAGGAGCGCCTAGATCGATTTTTGCAACAGTACTTTTAATACATGAAATTTTAATACTTTTAATACATTAAATTTTAAAAACTTGGGTGGTTGGTACTTATATTTTTAAGTTAGAGATTGTAGGGGCTGGGTCCCATAGCCCTATCAGCACCATTGATGATTTTTGTGTATCTATAGTTTTATAATAATAAAGAAATACAATATTTTTTTACGAGAATTCTTATTTTTTAACATTACTTATATTTCAAAATTTTGTTGATTTACAAAAAATAAATATTATTTTATATATTTTATATTAATTTTTATATACTAAAGTGATGATAATGTATATTAAAGTGATGAGACTAATCTAACTCTTAATTGAACTACACATATTTAACATGTATATATAGTTTTCACATCATTAGTGAATGGACATGATTTACTTAATAAAATGTTATAGATTTAATTTTACAAAATATTTTAATATTGTTTATAATGTCATGAAATACTCTACATTTATAAAATAAAAAAAATTTAAAAAAAAAAAACAAAACAAAACAAAAAACATTCTAAAATATTTTTCAAATAATAAAATTCTCAATGCATAGATAACACATATAATGCACACACTTGGACAATTGGGCACATACCTTTCCCCAAGATTGAAGTTAAGTCATATATGTTAGTGAACTAGTGAAGTGTTTTTTTTTTTTTTTTTTTAAATATAATCTAGTGAACCCTATATGTGCAACGAATGGAAGGTTTGCCCCTCTTTCATTAGCCACAACAAGAAAGCAATTTTCAACAATATTGAGCATGACTGCAAAAAAGGATAGGGGTGTTTATTCAGTTAATTTGATTAATAATAGAATTGAATTAGTTAAAATTTCTAAATGCTTTAATCATCAATCCAACTAAATTTTATATTTACAAATTAATCAATTTGATTTTTATTCTTTTTTGTTAATTGGTCGACTTATCAAATATTTTAATTACTCCAATTTTAAAAACCTTAAATTTTATAATTTTATAATTTCACACAACAAAACAGTCATTACATCAATACATAAATGGTCAATTTTGAAAAAAAAAAAAAACTAATTTAATAGTATTATTTATGAATTATAAAAATTAAAACATATATACATCCACATGTAGTTTGGTTAATCAACACTTTTGAACCAAATAGTTACCAACTCAAAAATTAGTTTGAGTTGATCAAGTGATCAACTATCCTTTCAAAAAAAAAAATGATCAACTATATTGGCAACCAAGCTGATTTATTCCTGTACTCCTTTGCTCAGTAGGTAACAAAAAGAGATTTTATCCAATACACACCATATAATTAATTGTGACTGCAAATTTCCATTGTCACTCGAAAAAAAAAAAATCATATATGTTTGGATCTTAATTTCTGCAGAATAAAGTTGAAACGTGATCGCCTTCAAAGTGTTTGATATTAGTCCGCATTGTATGGGTGTTGTCAATATCTATCCAAGAATTTTCATATGTTTCACTAAGCGCGGCGTTCAAAATATAATGCCGGCCGCTCCTGAATGTGAACACTCCCCTCCGGTCGCCGGTCGCCGCTGCATTCAACCCCTATTGCCTGCGTTTCAAGCCTCTTCGTGCTATACGTAGTTACGTACGTGCCGCTTTAGTTGGCTTTCTACGGTCTGATCTATACTTTTTATATTTCAAAAAAAAAAAAATTCATTATAAGTGTGCTAGTTTAGTTGTTGGTTTTAATATTCAAAGCTACGGCTTATTATATGATTGATAAAATTATATAAAGTGTTTTACCAATGATATACATAAGAAAAATATAATTTCATGAGTACAAATTATATTGGTTAACATACATACATACACTAATTTTGTCTCTCATATTTTCTTATCAACGTTTTGATTCCATTGAAGCTGGCTTTGTGTTCTCTTCATTGTGAAAGCGAAACTCATAAAATCAACTGTGAAATTATAATCTTGTTGAGTTTACTTACTATATTGCCGATCATTCTTGATGTAGTGATTAAACATTTAAACAGACCTTTTCAATAGATATGGGTTAACACAAGTCACTAATAAATTCGGTCACCTTTGCATGATGTGTAAAACCCATCATTGCACTTACTTAAAATCTTCGGAGTATCACTTTAAAAATTAAAGTACTATACATAAAACTCTTGATTAATTACACCACGCTTAAATTCTTATTATATAATAACAAGTGTAAGTTCGGTTTTTATCAAAAGTATGAAAAATTAGCGATTTCTATTCGTATATTTATATATAATAGTAATTTCAATTCTTCAATTAATCAATTGCTTCGTATATTGTTGACTTGAACATTATTGACCTTTTACTTTCACGGTAGATGGGCGTAATAGAGACTACTAAACTCAATTGCCTTTGCATTACATGTGTAAAACCTATCCATCGATATACATACAAAATTATAACTTACAATTTTAAACTATTAAACTCTTGATTTTTTTTTTTTGGAATGATACTGACTCTATTACAATGTAGTATTTGTTCATATCTACTTTCTCAACCTACTGAAGCACAAATAGCCAATAACGCTTCCATTGAAGCTCGAACTCACAACATTATTAAAATTGGTCAGAAAAATAAAATTATTAAAATTGCCATCACCTCATGACAAATTAAAAGATGAATAGTGTTCACATCAATAATTGAAATATTGAAATCATTATTTTGTATTTTATAAGGGAATGAAAATGTTATTTGAGAGACCGAGTCATGAATAGTAGAGGAGTAAGACCGCTACGTTGCCTTGGGTTGGCCGTTTCAATATAATTTCATTAGCCGTTAGGTACCCTATGTTGAAAGTCAACAAGTAGACTAATTAAATAAGCCAAGTGAAAAAAAAAAAGTGGATTACAGAAAAATTCGCACTAAAATATTTTTGTACCATAAAATCGACTGAAAATGTGTTGATAAAAATCAAACTTGTTTTCTTATACTCACCATGAACAAAAGTGAAAGACTTCTTCTCCTAAAAGATTGAATCACAACTCTATAGATCCCTCAGATCTCTTCCCGAAAGAGCATTTAAGATGATGTAAATTATGTGACAGAATCAAATATTTATCATCATTGAGGTTTGAACATTGACCTCTTCTCCTAAATACTGACTAATAAACCATTAAGTTATATATGCTCGTAATGTCAAAAAGTGAAATAGACTTAATCAGACATGTACTGATTCAATACTTACGGTTGAATAATTCAAGTTCAGTGTTTAATGTTTGGTCAAGTCCTAAATTCCCTTCTCAAGAATCTCTTATAAATATGGCATCCAATTATCCAAGACCACAACGAAAAGAACAGATCAATCTTAAATCTCCAAAATCATGGCTACCCTTCAAGCTTCAACCTTATGGAATTCATCATCAGCAACGGCGGCGGCGGGGGGCTCGACTACCCGGAGAAAGACAATAAACGCCGCCTTGAATTTCCCGAAAATCCATAAAACCAATCTCTCTCTCTCCCTTCCGATCCTCCGAACAAGAAGATTCATGGAGGAAATCGAGTTCGGAAGCGGGTACACGACCAAAACCTCGGACCCGTCCGAGAAGAAGCCAGCAGATCCATTGGTCGTCGCTAAGCTTTACGCGATCTTGGAGGCGGTGGCGGATAGGGCGGAGATGCACAGCAACGTTTGTGAGCAGAGAAATAACTGGAACAGCCTGCTATTAACCTCCGTCAACGGCCTCATTCTCGCCGCCGCTACTATGGCGGGAATCTCGGCCGCCGGGCCGGCGTTACCCGCGCTTAAACTGTCGTCCACTTTGCTCTACTTATCCGCGACGGGGATGCTGGTGGTTATGAACAAAATTCAGCCGTCACAGCTGGCGGAAGAGCAGCGGAACGCGGCGAGGCTGTTCAGGAATCTCCATAGCCAAATCCAAACAACCTTATCCGCCGGCCACCCCACAAACGGCGACGTTTCAGAAGCCATGCAGAGAGTTTTGGCGCTTGATAAGGCCTACCCTCTCCCCCTCCTCGGCGCCATGCTCGAGAAGTTCCCGGCCGCCGTCGCGCCGGCCGTGTGGTGGCCGGATCAGCCGCGCCGGCAGCCAACCCAAATCCGCGGGACCGGTAACGATTGGAACGGGGAATTAGAGGAAGACATGAGAGAAGTAATCAAAGTGATGAAGATAAAAGACAGAGAAGACTATTTACGCCTGGGAAAGAAAGCCTTGAAACTGAACAAAGCTCTCGCCATCTCAGGGCCGGTACTAACCGGCCTAGCCGCCGTTGGAGCGTCATTAGCAGGGCCCTCCGCCTCTTGGGCGGCGGCGGTCGTGGGAGTGGCCGCCGGAGCATTAGCCGCCGTCGTTAACACGTTACAGCACGGCGGACAAGTGGGGATGGTGTTCGAGATGTATCGCAGCAATGCGGGTTTCTTTAAGCTGGTTCAAGACTCCATTGATTCAAACATTGAAGAAAAAGATTTGCAGAGAAGAGAAAACGGGGAATTGTTTGAAATGAAGGTGGCGTTGAAGCTGGGAAGGAGTCTGTCGGAGCTCAAAGATCTTGCTGCCAAATCACGATCGCTGCAGAATAATGAAGAGATTGACGAATTCGCAAGCAAGCTTTTCTGAGATATATATATGACATTCAATTCATTCATTCATTCTTTAATTTGTACCAATGATGGATATCATAACCCTATTAATTGTACATTAAAAATTGAAATTATTATAATTAATGATTTTTAAACTTTATGGATTCATATAATATATTTTTCAAATTTTAAATTTTATAGATTACTCCCTATGTTAAACTGTACCGTTTAATATTGAGCAGTGTTGCAAAAATCGCGCCATAGACGTGCCTAGGCGCTCTAGGTGTTCTAGACGGTCCCCAGACGCCTAGGTGTCTAGCGATTTTTTCAATATTAGTATTGAGTCCTGAAACTGGATTAACTTGATTTACTTTCTCATGAATTTTCGAACAAGTTTACAAGGTTCAAAATATGTTCCGGGATTACAAAAAGGAAATTAAAAAATAATAATAATTCAGTTTCTGCAATTTTGGAAAACAACAGGGACTTAAGAGCAAATACGAGAAATTCCAAGATGTACATCTCTACAACTACTTCCCTCGTCTTCTTCTCTTATCCTTCCTCATTTCCAAACTGAGCTCTCAACACTTCTCCACTCCTTCAATCACGCACTCCCTGCTATCCTCAAATCTCAGCCGTTCAATAATTGCAGTTGCGAAGCATCATGATTCAGCTGCTCTTCCCTCTAATATTCGCCGAGATGGCACTGATCGGAATTTTCGTCTTCAGAACTCCGCTTCGCAAGCTGGTGATATTGGGCCTTGACAGAGTCAAACGCGGCCGCGGCTCCATCGTCGTTAAGACCGTCGCCGGAACCGTCTTCGTCGTCATGCTCTCCACCATCTACAATGTGATTTCGCTTCGCAACCGGTGGATCGAGGACGAAGGCGGCGATATAACCCCCACCGATCAGATTCTATTGGCTCAACATCTTCTCGAAGCTTCTCTCATGGGTAAATTCGTCCTTTTCGCTTTCGGTTTATACTTATCCCTCCTTAGCTGTGATGAGATGTTGGATCATGAATGATTGCTTCAATTTAATTTAGGATCATTGAAATTTGATTAGGAATTGAAGTTCGTAAGTTTTTGATGCAGAAACTAAGTCAGTATACTTGCTTGAATGTTACAGTACATTATAGTGCCTGAAAATTTATGATTGTGTTAAGCTTTGAATTAAGCGACATGAAAATCGAGCTAGTGATAGCTGCAACAGAATCTAGCCAAACCCTAAAAATAAATGATTCAGATCAGCATGAGTTGATTCACACTATATCTGAGCTCTGATTTGCTTGGAGCTGTAAAGGAAAATTTGTTAGTGCAAGCCAAGTTTCCATTTAAGGAACTAACTCCAAGTCTTCCTATTTTCATTGCTGAATTCAAATATGTGCATTTCTGTAATCAGATGATTTCTCTAGTTCTAATTTATTACCTTTTATCAGTTTTCAAATTGACCATTTGTATGAATTTGGAATGTTGGATCAATTAACATAACAGTTGTAACTTGTATTAAACCATAGAATCAAATCAAATAAGAAAAAAGTGCTTAGTTCTATCATTATCACTGTTTGCACTAAGGAATCGAGAGACTTGACAGAATAGGCCTTTCATTGTTCTGCAAATCATTTGTTTAATCAGCATTGATGGATATATACAATTATACAAGTCGGTGCAATTATCTGTTAGTGCCCACTTGCTCTTCTGCGTTTCCATACTATCATTTACTCCTTGTCAGGGTGTAGGTCTCCACTTTAAGTATGATTCATTCATATTGGTTTACTTATCTAACTAGATTCCAGGCTCTGCTCTTTCATATTCTTGGCTGCTATTCCCATTTGCGTCTGAATCATGTTGATGAATTGATCTGCAGGATTCTCGCTCTTCCTTGGACTAATGATTGATAGGCTTCACCATTACATCAGAGAGCTTCGCATGAGAAGGAAGACGATGGAAGCAGTGAAAAAGCAAAACCGGGCCATTGACGAAGGGAAGGCTGGAATCTCGGAGGAGATCAAATCCCTCGAGGAACAGGCGAGTTCATTGCGTGAGAGGATTAAGCAGCTGGAGTCAGAGGTGGAGGAGAAGAGCAAGGAAGCGAGCAGCTCTGAAGCCAACGCGATCGCCCTGAAAAAGCAATCGGAAGGATTTCTCCTTGAATATGACCGGTTACTGGAAGAAAATCAACACCTGAGAAGTCAGTTACAGTCACTGGATAGAAAGTTGTCACATTCAGATAGCAAGAAGGTTTCCTAAGGATTAAGTAACCAACCATGCCTGTTGGTGTCCAGATTTTACCCCTCAGAGATGAGGTTTGTGACAAAGTCGCTGTTCAAATGTTATGTCATTTGCACATTCGTTTTTACTGCTCTTTTATACAGATTCTAAGGTTCAGATTCAGAATGTGGTAAATAGAAAGAAAACCACTAAAATACTCTACTCTATGGTTAAAAAAAAGGCTAACAATCCCGTCGAGGAATTTTGCCATCTTTGTGGGAAAAGAAGGTTAAAACACTAGTAATAAAAAATGGTGTCATCAAAATTAGAGTCGACAAGAGAGCTCTGAATGGGGACAATGGTTTACTAAATTTTTGCCATCTTTGTGGGAAAAGAAGGTTAAAACACTAGTAATAAAAAATGGTGTCATCAAAATTAGAGTCGACAAGAGAGCTCTGAATGGGGACAATGGTTTACTAAATTTGACGTGAACCAATAATTTCAAAGAAATCGGAATATTCTTAAATTGAAAAAAGTAACATAACTCAGCTCAGCAGGAGAAAGACAAGACAGGAAAGAGATTCCCATTTTTCTTGTTTTATTAAATAATTTTCTGGAGATTTGGTCCGTTGTGTCCCCTTAACGTGTTAGAAATTATAAGAGTAGAAAAGAGATTAACCTTCAGTTATTATAATTCTAAGTACTCAGTAAAAGTCACACCATTAAAAGAAACATTTTCACAGTGATGGTCTAAAGTAAGTAGAGGTTTACTGTTTACAGGGATGATCTACTTTGACAAAGTCATACTTAGACACTGAAATTGAAAGGCGATTAGGCAGCTTCAGCAAATCCGACCCGCAGGTTGCCATGATCAAACACTGTGTGATACCGCCCCATGAAAACATCTCCCAAGATCCTGCATCAAAGGAGTTTCGTTTCGTTTCAGCAGTTGCCAACCACAATTCGAGACGATTCAATTTCACAGATATGATAATAGCATTACCAGAGAGGTCCGCGAGGAGGAGGGATATCCAAGGCTGTAAACCCGCTTATGCATTGTGCAGCACGACCAACGCCCACCTTGAGTATGTACTGGTCATGAAACAAGCAATGACCAAAGTTTAGTATACTCTTGCTTGTCGAGCAAGAATGGCAGCGTGCATGTAGATGTTAGAAAATGTTTATAATCAGCCATGCATGCAAGTAGAAGAAACCCGCTGAGTTCTTTCTTGGCTTGCATATTGATGTTTAATAACTGCTCCTAACTCTCATTCTAGGTTACTCGGGTAGTCAGGTATAACATAATTGACTTGATAACACTGTTTTAGGAACTGCTCCTAGTTCTTGTTCTAGGTTACTAGGTAACACCATGTCTAATATGCACACTACAATGATCATATAATGGATGTATTGTTGGGACCATACCTCATCAGGGGAGAGTTCGAAGAGTTTTTTGCCAATTGTGAAGGAAACGCTAGGCATTGAAGAAAGGCTTCCACAATCGACAGCTGATTCACCCAACGGGCTTGGCAGCCGGTCACAAAACTGCAGTTTTATATGAACATCAGAAGGGAGCTGATGATCACAACTAGCCTACTGCAGAAAATATTTACCTCGTTGGCATAAGACAGTATGCGGTCTTGAGTATGATTCTGACTAAGAAGCGATTGCATCCAAAAGACAGCCATTTCACAAGTCTCACACTCGGAATTACGTATCCCAGCTGATCTGCCTTCTTTTTCATCTACTACACTCTCGATGCCCATACTGTATAGAAATGATGAAGTTATTAATGTAATGAATTCTCGTTTATATTCACCAAAAGAGAGACTGAGAGAGGCTCTCTCCAGTTTCTGCATCACTGCACACCCCCATGTAAAGAAAGGAGTGAGGGTTCTTATATCTAACCTTACACCATGATTTCCATCGAAAGTGCATAACCCAATTTTTGAGCATATTTTCTTTGGATTTCCCTGTAAAAATTGGAAAATACTTGGACTATATGGTGAGGCAAATACTGTTCCAAACTAGAATGCACCATAGGCCGTGATCACGAGACAAAGTGTGAAATATGTTGTTAGTACCATTAACTCATTAAGACATACCTCTGTTAAGAGCAAATCAACAATTCTCTGCCCATAATTTTCAACAACAGATTTGCATTCTTGGCTAACTACACCAGAGGCTCCAATGGCATGATTGATCATGGTAATCACGGCCTGCACCTCATGCACAGATGATAATGGAAAGATGATAATGGAAAGACAAACGAGGACCAAAGAAATTATAAACAGATCATATTGAAATGCGACTATAACAAGCACATTTGCACCAGTATCTCCAAAATGCTAGAACTGACGCTACAACACATACCGTTGGGCCAGCTAAGAGAGAAGTTCCAGAATCTGCTATCGCAGCACATCCATGGCCACAGTACCCTACACAAGAAAGGACATAATTGCAAAGCAAATATATCTTTATCAGATAAGAAGCCTATTCAATAACAGTTTATCGTGTCAACTAGCTAGTAGAGTGGAAATAGCATACCTGTGGGTTTACCATCGATGAGAACATCACCCATATCAAACTGCCAACAACATAATCAAAATTTAGACAACATTTGCAGAACATAAACACGGAGAAATACCAAACAGATATGAGATGCCTCTACCTGCCAATAACCTTTCTGTGTTACTGGAACATAGGTGTGTTTCCCTTTGTAGTGGTTGGGATCAACCCCGCCAAATACGATTTCTCCCCCGTCTTCCTCTTCTGCATTCCGGTTGAGCCAAAATGAGAAGACAGGCTCATTAACTAGACCTTGATCAACCATGTTGTACCTTGTACATGGGAAGTGTCAAGTAATTAAATGAAAAAGGATACTAAAATTCAAACCTATAACAATATATAAATCCCAGAATGTATTTTACTAAGGATAAAGTGAATGTAGTTGAATTTTTAAGGAAAACTTTCATACCAAACTGGAACAGCATTTCCAACTGAAATTTCCTGGAAGCCAAGACCCAATATACCATCAAACTTGGCAACCAAAAATGTCAGACTTGGCTCTCTGGTTGCCTCAATAAAGTCCTGCCATACACAAATACCATTAGATTTCAAATGTCAACCCATAACATTGTAGAAACCAAAGCAACAACCCAAATTCACCTGATGTTTTACGACGAGATCACCAACTTGAACATTATCATTACTGAAGAAGCCAGATACTGCTCCAGACCCATATTGAATTGCAGCAGCCGTTCCTGATAAACATATGCCACAAAGTTCCATGAAAAGTCACAAAACATTATTCTTATTTCACAGACTAAGCAAGATTTCTAATGGCAAAGGACAAAACACAAACCATTTCTCTTGTAAGTATGTGATCGGCTTGACTTATATCTGGAATGGAAGTAACAGGCAAGCTGCAAACAAGCACAAAGCATTGAAAAATTAAAGCCCCCAACCACTTCATGAAAATTTTTCAGGGCCCCTACCTGATGGTAGGTAAACCCCGGGTGAACCAGTTTAGGTTGCCCCTAGCTGATCAGCTCAAACCACTCAAAGCAACCAAGAATGCCAATAGGTCAAACCACTCAAAGCAACCAAGAATGCCAATAGGTCACTCCGGCTAAGAGTGGAACTTAGTTTTCTAACTGGTAACCATTACCAAAATCAACCGGATGACCAATGAGTTGGTCCCACTTACACTCATATTGCAATGATGTAGAGAGATTTACCGAGAACAAGCACTTAGATGATGGCACCCATAAGTTGGAACTTCCGGTGTCAAAGATGACAGAAATTTTTTGAGGAGGAGATCCAATCCCAATCTCCCCAAAGTACTGAGCATCCAGATAGTTCTTTAGTGCTACAATTTCAGCATCCTCCGAACCCCCAAATCCACCATGGAAGCTATACTTTCTAATAGATGATGCTCTCATTGACCCTCCCCTCTTGGAGGCAAGAAGGTTCTCCTGATCAAGTTTCACCTTTTTGAGTGAAATCCTAACCAGTCCACCATTTGATGCGCAGAAAGATAGAGGAAATAGAAGAGACGAAAGGAAAAGGGTGACAAGTAATGCTTTCACTCCCATCTTGACCTGTACCAGTCCATACATTATGCATTAGCAACCAGTAAAGCACAGTAAAACAACGTTCCTTTTCCACACATTATTAGACTCTCCAGCACACATACAGATTCAAAGGCTCGAGAAAATCTCTTACTATGAATTTTTTAAAAAAAAATTAAAAAAAAAAAACGGTTCTACACCACATGCGGCGATTTACATCATGCAACAACACAAACAAAGATGCAGAAAGGCAATAAATCATAAGCATAATCTCTGTTCACTTAATCACCGATTCAGAACCTTCAAATTTTCAAAATATTCCCAAAAACGAAGTTATATCCGAGACATATTAAAATCAAACCAAAACCTTTGGTTTTTCCGATGGAATCTGATCAGAATACGGCGAAGAATCAATCAAATCAAAATTACTACTCACCTACTGGAGGAGAAGAGACCGAGGATTATGAGAATATGGAGAAGAGTGTAAGCCTGTAAACGTGGTCTATAGAGGAGGGAAAAGGGGAACTAACTTTGAGCTACTGTCAATAGGACACTTTTTTAGCCGTTGGATCTGATGGGAGCTTTCGATGAGGGCCGTTGATGGCGGATAGGGGTCTTAATCACTAGAGATTCGGGTGTGGCCCCAGTGGTGGAACATTCGATTATAGATGAATCGCAGCCGTTGGAGTTTGATCGACGGTGAAAAGATAGGCGAAAGGTGGGACCGGGTTGAGGGAATAAATTACTCCGTATACCGGTGGATTGAGGCTAAGGAAATGGGGGATGAGGGGTGGCAGCCGCATGGGCAACAGTACACGTGTCCTCATTCCGGCTATAGCAAGGACACGTGCTGCCTCCTCCACTTCTGCCTCTTTGCATGGGTGTTCCAATTTTTTATTATTTTTTTTAAATTTCAAAGGGTAAAAACAAGTTAATTTTTATTTTTTTTTGGCACAAGTTAATCTTTTTTTTTTTTTTTGAAAATGGCACAAGTTAATCTAATTTTAAGAGAAAATATTACTTAGACTCTCAATTTTATTTCATACTTTTATTTTTTCACTTAAAATTAAAATTTGGCGTTAACATTTTTCTTTGAACTCATCAAATTAAAATAATTTATTATCTCATATCATATTAGGAAGTAAAAGTTGAAGAATAGAGATTGATAACCCATGTGTATAACTCTTTAAATATATCTAAAAAAACATAAAAAGTGTGGATGAAAGTTATACCCCTGATTTATGTCCGTTTTTTTTGTTAAGTTTTTTTTGTACATTATGCTATAAAGGTTGTACATTAAAATATTTTGGACAAATATACCCCTACCGTTATAACTTCCGTTATCTTTTCCAATATTGTTACCATGCACATGCATCCACCATATATTTTCTTATCTTCTTCATTAAATTAAATTTATTAGGCTAAAGTGTCATCCCGCACCCTGAACCATTTGTGATTATTCATCCCGCACCATGAACTGTAAAAAGTGATATTTCGAGCCATCAACCAAATTTTTTTTTTCACCTAGCACTTTTTATACATTGTCCGGTAATAACGATGACAAAGATGGAAGGTAGGCATTGGACGAATTTATATTTCAATTTTGACTGCATTGGCAGTTTACCACTAGCAGTTTGACTGCGTTATCAATGTCTATGTTTAATGGAATACATTGGCATGTTACCATTGGCAATTTACCACTTGCAATTTTACAAACATTACATTGCAGTTTACAAACATCTTTGAAAAATAAAAAATACTGAAAAATCAAGAAACAAAAATAAGAAAAATATGGAGAAATTGGGAAAATGTACAAAAGAAATAGAAAAATTGAAATATAAATTCGTCCAATGCCTACCTTCCATCTTTGTCATCGTTATTACCGGACAACCTATAAAAAATGCTAGGTGAAAAAAAATAATTAGTTGATGGCTCGAAATATCACTTTTTACAGTTCATGGTGCGGGGGCAAGTCCGCGCATGTGGGTTGCGATAACCCACACGCCCCATCCGCCAAAAACCATGCGGCTTACCGGGGGAAAGTCCGCGCATGTGGGTTGCGATAACCCACATGCCCCATCTGCCAAAACCATGCGGCTTGCCGGGGGCAAGTCCGCGCATGTGGGTTGCGATAACCCACATGCCCCATCTGCCATGGCCGTAGAGCCAGCATGCATAGCACGTAAGAGCACATAGTTGAGGTGGCCGTGGGCCAAGCATGCAGAGCACATGGTTGAGGTGGCCGTGGGCCAATCATGCAGAGCACATAGTTGAGGTGGCCGCGGGCCAAGCATGCAGACACATATGAGCATATAGTTGAGGTGGCCGCGAGCCAAGCATGCAGAGCACATATGAGCATATAGTTGAGGTGGTCGTGGGCCAAGCATGCAGAGCACATAGGAGCACATAGGGGCACATAGTTCGGGAAAATAAACACAATCTTTACCTAACTAAGTGTTCAAGTGTACTCACCAGACCTCTTGCGAATCAACCATTTGGGCGTACCTCGGAACCTTGCTAGGATGGTAGAGACTACAAACACGGGCTAATCGTAGCGATCCCCACATACGGTGCCAATGATGGTTTTATTAGGACCGGGTCCACCATAAACCGAGTACAGAGAGTACAAAACGGGGGGTAGGGCGCTAGGCCCAACACGATATGTATAGAAGCCCGAGGTACAGGCCCAAGAACAGCGACCCAAATACAAAGGATAAGGCCCACAAGGTGGGCTATAGCTAACTATGTTACTGACAGGAATCGAACCCAGGTGACTGGATTGAGAGTATGAGACCAAGACCACTGGACTAGTGTGCCTGTCGTGTCTGAGTTGCCCCTTAGCCAAAGATCCAGGGCCCCTATTTATAGCAAGCCCCCCTCCTCCTCTGGCGTCCGCGTGTCCCACGTTGCTCCTCCCCCACTCCGCTTGTTTGTCGCCATGCATGTCACGTCGCCACTATCCCCGCGACTCCCGCATCCTCCACCATGCACGCCGCACCTACCTCCCCCCCTCAGCCGTACCTACCTACCCCTTCACGTCGTACCTACCCCCCTCATGCCGTACCTACCTCCCCCCTCACGCCGTACCTACCTCCCCCCTCACGTCGTACTTACCTCCCCCCCTCATATCGTACCTACCTACCCCCTCACGCCGTACCTACCCCCTCATGCCGTACTTTCCTCCCCCCTCACTCCGTACCTACCTCCCCCCCCCCCCCCCCCTCATATCGTACCTACCTACCCCCTCACGCCGTACCTACCCCCTCACGCCGTACCTACCTCCCCCCTCATATAGTACCTACCTACCCCCTCACGCCGTACCTACCCCCTCATGCCGTACCTACCTCCCCCCTCACGCCGTACCTACCTCCCCCCCTCATATCGTACCTACCTCCCCCCTACCTCCCCCCTCACGTCGTACCTACCTCCCGCACCTACTTCCTCCCGCCTTCCGGTCCATGTTCTTCACCCTGGCCCACCATGCGTGCTTGTCTTCCTAGCCCAACAAGACTTGGTCCAACCTCCTTCTTTCACCACCCCCACTTAGGTCAATACTTTCCCAATAAAATGGACCCCTAGGGTCCCATATCCCCATCACAAGTCCCCCACTTCTTTTAGGCATCTTGATGCCTAAAGGAAGTAGAATTCGGTACAACTACCTCCTTTCTTTCCCAAACTCAACCTCTAGTTCCCAAGCTTTCATGATATCCCCATCACAAGTCCCCCACTTCTTTTAGGTATCTTGATGCCTAAAAGAAGTAGAATTCGGTATCACCACCTCCTTTCTTTCCCTTTCTCAACCTCTCGCCGCCACCTTCCATTATCACCATTGTTGTGCGTCACGCCATTACTCCGTACCTCTGCCACACACACCGCATGTTGCCCTGGCCTTCGCTTCATCACCTAGTGTCGAGAGGTCAAGATGACTCTTCGATTGTCACTTCTTGGATGCTTCTTGCACTGTACATCTCTTTTGTTGCATTTATTTAGTATGCTTTGTCAATTTCTCCATGAAGCACATGCATGCTTCTTTTAAATATTTAATGGATGTCTTTGCTCCTTTTCCATGCTACACCTGCATGCAACCTTTTTTTTTTTTTAAAGGATGAAGGTAACTGAAGATTGTAGGACGGGGTAGTGTGGGTTGCGATAACCCACACGCCCCCTCCGCCAATGCCATGCGGCTTGCCGGGGGCAAGTCCGCGCATGTGGGTTGCGATAACTCACACGCCCCATTCGCCAAAAACCATGCGGCTTGCCGAGGGCAAGTCCGCGCATGTGGGTTGCGATAACCCACATGCCCCATCTGCCAAAACCATGCGGCTTGCCGGGGGCAAGTCCGCGCATGTGGGTTGCGATAACCCACACGCCCCATCCGCCAAAAACCATGCGGCTTACCGGGGGCAAGTCCGCGCATGTGGGTTGCGATAACCCACATGCCCCATCCGCCAAAATCATGCGGCTTGCCGGGGGCAAGTCCGCGCATGTGGGTTGCGATAACCCACATGCCCCATCCGCCAAAACCATGCAGTTTGCCGCGGGCAAATCCGCGCATGTGGGTTGCGATAACCCACACGCCCCATCCGCCAAAAACCATGCGGCTTACCGGGGGAAAGTCCGCGCATGTGGGTTGCGATAACCCACATGCCCCATCTGCCATGGCCGTAGAGCCAGCATGCATAGCACGTAAGAGCACATAGTTGAGGTGGCCGTGGGCCAAGCATGCAGAGCACATGGTTGAGGTGGCCGTGGGCCAAGCATGCAGAGCACATAGTTGAGGTGGCCGCGGGCCAAGCATGCAGACACATATGAGCATATAGTTGAGGTGGCCGCGAGCCAAGCATGCAGAGCACATATGAGCATATAGTTGAGGTGGCCGTGGGCCAAGCATGCAGAGCACATAGGAGCACATAGGGGCACATAGTTCGGGAAAATAAACACAATCTTTACCTAACTAAGTGTTCAAGTGTACTCACCAGAGTAGCGTCTCGATGTGCTAAGTGTGTTACCTTATAGGGTAGCTCCTCTTGCGAATCAACCATTTGGGCGTACCTCGGAACCTTGCTAGGATGGTAGAGACTACAAACACGGGCTAATCGTAGCGATCCCCACATACGGTGCCAATGATGGTTTTATTAGGACCGGGTCCACCATAAACCGAGTACAGAGAGTACAGAACGGGGGGTAGGGCGCTAGGCCCAACACGATATGTATAGAAGCCCGAGGTACAGGCCCAAGAACAGCGACCCAAATACAAAGGATAAGGCCCACAAGGTGGGCTATAGCGAACTATGCTACTGACAGGAATCGAACCCAGGTGACTGGATTGAGAGTATGAGACCAAGACCACTGGACTAGTGTGCCTGTCGTGTCTGAGTTGCCCCTTAGCCAAAGATCCAGGGCCCCTATTTATAGCAAGCCCCCCTCCTCCTCTGGCGTCCGCGTGTCCCACGTTGCTCCTCCCCCACTCCGCTTGTTTGTCGCCATGCATGTCACGTCGACACTATCCCCGCGACTCCCGCATCCTCCACCATGCACGCCGCACCTACCTCCCCCCCTCAGCCGTACCTACCTACTCCCTCACGTCGTACCTACCCCCCTCATGCCGTACCTAACTCCCCCCTCACGCCGTACCTACCTCCCCCCTCACGTCGTACCTACCTCCCCCTTCATATCGTACCTACCTACCCCCTCATGCCGTACCTACCTCCCCCCTCACTCCGTACCTACCTCCCCCCCCCCCCCCCCTCATATCGTACCTACCTACCCCCTCACACCGTACCTACCCCCCTCACGCCGTACCTACCTCCCCCCCTCATATCGTACCTACCTACCCCCTCACGCCGTACCTACCCCCTCATGCCGTACCTACCTCCCCCCTCACGCCGTACCTACCTCCCCCCCTCACGCCGTACCTACCTCCCCCCCTCACGTCGTACCTACCTCCCGCACCTACTTCCTCCCGCCTTCCGGTCCATGTTCTTCACCCTGGCCCACCATGCGTGCTTGTCTTCCTAGCCCAACAAGACTTGGTCCAACCTCCTTCTTTCACCACCCCCACTTAGATCAATACTTTCCCAATAAAATGGACCCCTAGGGTCCCATATCCCCATCAATATATATATATATATATATATATATATATATATATATATATATATATATATATATATATATATATATATATAATATGTATTGAGTATAAGTAATTTATATACATATGTTTTATAGTATGGTGAATTAGCTTGGTTGGTAAAATACTTGAATTTCAACCTTATTTTATCAAAGGCCCGTGTTCTAATCCTTCTCTTTGCATTTTCGAATTCCTCAACTTTACTTCTTTGCTTATATTCTAATGTATATTTTAAAAATTTATTTTTATTGATTTTTTGTGTTTAATACGGAGTAGTATTTTTAATGTAGTTTTTAAATATATAAATTTTCATATATTTATACTAAACATATTATGAAAATTTTTTATATTAAATATATAAATTTTTATATTAAATTTTTAATGCAATTTCTAAATTTATAAATTTTTATATACTATTTTCAAAAAATAAATAAATAAATTTTTATATACTTATACTAAACATATTATGAAAAATTGAATTAAAAAAACTTCAATCAACTCATGTTAACCAGACAAGACACGTAAAAATAGGACGGAGGGGGTTATATGATATATTTTGAGATTGAATTATAAAAAAAAATTAAAAGATAATTTACTATGTACCTTTTTATGAATATGTAATCAATGTAATATAGAAGCTTCTATCATGTGTCATTATATGTATTCAAATTATTCTTAAAAAAGTTTAAAATTTATCTATTTAAAAGAAAAAGTATTTGTATTAAAAAAATATTTATAAAAGTCATATAAATAATATAGAAGATGTGTGATTTATAATATGCTTTATGTTCAAACTATTTTATCTAGACAATTATGTTTAATATCTTTTTGCATTTTTTTATTGCGTTTTGAAATATTTTAATTTCTTGCTCCTAGTCAAAAAAAAATTTAGCTTTCCATATGTTTGTAATTATTGTTTTATAAATTTTTAATAATAATTAATTTATTATTTATTATGATAAATGTTATTGTTTATAAGTTTACTCGATTTTAAATTATTTGTTAATTTTTATAATCTATAATATTATTTATTTATGAAGGCACTTATACGATTATTTATTATTTTGCATTAAGGAAATCACCTAGAAATTATTTTCATGATTATTATTGTGTATGTAAAATTGTTAAAAACTTGTTAATCTTATTTAAAGTTATTGATATTAATATTTTTTTCCTTATTTAATTTAAATTTTAGGCATGAAATATATATTAACCGGGGCCTATTTTTTTATCCTGCCCTGGGCCTATAAAATTATAGGACCGGCCCTGAATAATACTAATGTATATATTTTTAATTCTTTTTCATTGTGAACGGTACTGTTAATTTGGTAGATCTATGACTAAAATTTAACCTAATTTTATACATTATATTAAAATACAATACAAAGCAATGGTGATGAATAGTCTAGTGAGACTTAAAACATGTTTTATTGTAATTTAAAAAATTTAAATACGAATGATCACTGCATGGTGGATTTGAAAGTGGAGAAACGAGTTTGTCTTCAATGGTAAAAGGAAAATTATACTCCGTATCATAAAATTTCTGTATGATGGATTCTATCAAGAATGATAATTTTTTTTCCTTTTTAAAATGAAAACACATGGAAAAATGTTGCACATTTGCACCAAATCACATGGAAGAACGTGTAAAACGAAATCGTACAAAGGATGAGGTACGGTGCGACCCCCCAAAGTCAAACCTTCACATTATTTTAGTCATTCCATCTCTTTACTACGCATTTCCTCCCCATTTCTTTTCTCTTTCCTCTCTCTCTCTATTTTTTTTTTTGTTAAAATAAAAATTATATATATTAGTTCCTCTAAATAATTTAATTCAATTATTATTATTATAATTTTCTACAAACGGCAATACGACGTTGCAGACGACAATAAATGGTTGAGGAATCAAAGGAAACTGCAAGGAAGTGGCATGACGGTCCAAGTTTTGAAATATATCCAAAATTATAGTCATTGGTCTTTACGTGTCAAACAAGATGGCCGGATTTGTTGACTGCTTCAATCCTCATTTTCATATCCTTTTTTTTTTTTTTTTGTAAAGCATTTTCATATCCTTTGATTATTCCTTTCTTCATCTTCTTGGATTTTGCTTCTTTGTTTCCTTGTTTTTATTCTTTCTTTGATTCAAGAAAAATCTCACAATAATCATTATTTAAATTTATATTTATATTTTAAATTTAAGTAAAAAATTTTATATAATTTTACCACAAATAAATTAACTTACATTATTCATAATTAGTCGGTAGGAAATAAACTTTTCTTTGAGTATATTGAACAAAATGCAGAAACTCGACTTGTTGATAAAATATGATTGAATTGACGAAAAGGAGAATATTTTGGTGTTTTTTGCACAACAGGGAGACGGTATAGAATAATTACATGAAATGTTTTCACTTTTGTGTATGTATAGTTACCCAAAACTAACAAACAGGTAATTATTCTAACAAGAAACAGTGTACAAAAGAATGAAAATATCTTAGTTCAGGTAGTCCTAATTCCCCAGAAGTGACAGAAAATTTGGAAAGAAAAAAAAAAGTAATGTAAAGAAAGTGTTGATTGATCTATACCCCCCAAGAAAGACTTTAGAACAAATGAAGCAATGAATTTTAGTTCCCCGGGAAACTGCTGGTCTTGTTGGTGTTGCTGGTGGAGGTGGCGGCGGCGGCATTAGAGGCGTTATTAGCGTTGTTTGGCTGGGAACCACCGCCCATGATGGAGGAGATGGCGGCGGCGAGGGCGGCGGTGAAGTTGGGGTCGGAGGTGATGGCGGCTGTGGCTGCGCTGAGCGTGTCGGCGAACAAAGGGTGTTGCGGCGGCGGCGCCGGATGCTGCTGCTGTTGAGCCAACTGCGCCGCCTGCGCGGCGGCGGCGGCGATGTCCTGGTGGGAAACATGCAGGCCGGAGAACTTTGACTGGTTGTACAAACCCTGACCGAAAACCTGGGGGAGCTGAGGGTAATTCTGAGGAATTTGAGGGGCTCCCGTGAAAGGCGCTTGGAATTGAGTTGGGGGTCTTTGGTAATTAGGCAAAGAATTGGGGGTTTGAGTGAGGTCAAGGGTGACGGTTGGAAAAGGCGCAGAAGCTGAAATAGTGGCCACGCTAGACGAACAAGGGAGGATTGCTCTCGCAAGAAAGTTAGTATTCATCATCCCGTCGGCGCTCGGCATGGCGCCGGAAAGCAGCATGTTCGCCGCCGCGGAGGTGGTGGACGCCATCGCCATCGCCGCCGGTGGCAGCGGGTGGTTGTGCGTACCTTCATAAGTTGTTATCAAAATCGTCCTATCCTCCGCACACCTTTGCACCTATAACAATTTAAACCATATTAGATCAACCACAAAACCATAATAATTCAACCCAAAATCATTACAATTGAAACATCTGTTTCATCTCAACTAAAAAATTGATAGTTAAACTGCAAACATACCTGTTTTCGAACCGGACACCCAACGGCCATAGTGCACCGGTAATAAGCTCGTGGACAAGGGTTTCCTTTTGCCATTTTTTGACCATATTTCCGCCATTGACATCCATCACTAATCTGTAATAATCAAAATTTATCTATTAGTACTTAACTTTTTTTTTAATTATATATCACTGATATCTGCATCTCCCAAGATAAGATATGACAATATACTCACCATTGGGGCTTCGGATCGGGCACGGACGGAGACACGGGCTTTCCTCATGGTAGCCTCGGCAGCTTGATCAACAGGCTTGGAAGGATTCAATTTTGGGAGTTTATTAGGAGCCCAGCTTTCTGAATCTGGACTGTCTTCCCTGGCAATAATCCCTTTATGCCTCGACAATTCCGTGTTGTTGTTCCTGGGAGAACCCGCAGACAGTGTTCTCTCCTCCGACGTAGTATGAGACTGCGACGCCTCATCTGTCTGAGCCGCCGCCGCAGCACCGCCGCCGGGAACCAACTCCAGGAACTGTCGCGGAACAGTGGGTTCTTCTTTCTCAGGCTTCTTTTCCTCGGATTTTCTGTCAGCAACCTAGATCATATATCGTACCAAAATTAATAAGCATCAATCTCGATGTAAACTAAACAAAACAAAACTTTTAAACCAATAATATAACGAACTGATTATATTTTATATTACGTACCTCACGATCTTGTGTGCTTCCTATTCTGGAGCTTTGCTGATTCTGGTGTTGCATTAGATTCGAAAGATGCTGCTGTAAAGCGGTGTAGTTGGTGGAAACCTGCGACAGCATCCCTCGCAATCTCTGATTCTCGGCGTTCATCTTTTCGAGCTCCACTTGCAACACTGACAGCTGCAGATACATATGAATTATCAATACGAGATACCCAAAAAAAAAAAAAAAAAGTATATATCCTACGATGAACTGTTAGTTCAAAGGTTTTATGATTGTTTTCTTACATCATTCTTGGCTCGACGCTCCTCCATATCCGATGAAACACTGTCATCCACCGTGGATTTATCGCTCCCGGAGTTGGCAATCACCAGTTGCAAACCAGTCTGCGAATGAGTTACCGGAAATGTTAGAATTGAGAAAAAGCATCGATTTTTACTGGTTTTTCAACGACCCAGAAATGAAATGATTATATTTACATTCAAATCAGCTTTGGTGACGGGTTCGCCGTGCAAGGTTATCTCCTTCTTGACGACGATATCAGCCTTCTTGTCGGAGAAGAAGTCAACTTCGTTGGGCGGCCCACGTTTCTCGGCGGCGGGGTTGATCGGAACCATACCAGCACCACCGCCACTACCGCCGCCGTTGATCGGATTCAAGCGCGGGCTCAGATTAAACCCAAAAACCGGCTTGTTCGTGAAGAACCCAGCGCGCCGATCAGGATTCTCGAGGGTCAACCCCCAACCTTTGTCCATAAATCAAAAAATTCAAGAAAATATCACAGAAAAAATCCTAAATTTTTTTTTTTAGTTCCTATCTCTCTCTCTAGGATGGTGAAAAATAATGTGAAGAGGCTAAGAAGCGTTTTACAGGAGAAGGGAGGGGAGGTATAAAAAGGCGAGTGGGGAATAGGGAATGACGTCATGCGGTGCGTCAGGATTGGTGACAGGTGGCGGCGGGCCCCGGTGGCGGGTGGGGATCGGAGGAGAGTCAAGACTGTGTTTGACTGGCTCCCAGGGAGAGGGGAAGAAGAAATCCACCGGCCCGAGCGGTGCGGCGCGTCCCACGTGACGGAAAATTGGAAAATGTATGTATGGCCGGATAAGTCAACGTATTTGACGGAGAACCTTTTTCCCGGCGACTGCAGACTCGGCCGTAGATTATTATTATTATTTTTGTTTTAATTAGTAAATTCGTATACGACTGCGATTTTTCTTGAAAAAGGAGCGTTTCGACACGTCACTCATCCCCCAAGTAGACCGCCGGTTGACTCTTTTGGCTTTATATCTTTGTAACGTACGTAATTGTTTGGTTACCGTCACCGTAATTACTAATTTAATTTAAGGATTACTATAATTTTTGTCCATAACTTAGGTAATTGTTATTTTTTTAGATTTTAGATTACTTAAAAAATTTACAACCACTATTCAAAATGCGTATTGATTAAGTTGCAGCCACTATAAGAACAATTCTCATTTTCATTCATAACTAAAGTAAATTCTGTAAATAATATTAAAAGGTAATTGTTATTTTCGTTATTAATTTTGGCCATACTTCGTTTCCCAAAAGGTTGAATTTACAACTTCAAGGGCTCTCCACATCTTGTGACTCAGTGGTTCAGCAAACAGGAAAATTTTGGTCATACTTACATGACGTTTGGTTGTAAGTATGGAATTAAAAAGAAAAAGAATTGCAATTTCATGGGAGATAAATAGTGTGGAATAAAGTAAGAATTAAATTCTAATGTTTGGTTTGCATTAATATAATTATTGAAATTTTAATTTCAATGTTTGATATTCATAAGAATTGAAAGAGGATAAGTATTATAAAAATAAAAAATGCTCATACTTTTTATAACAAACAAATGAAACATTAATTTTAGACTAGAAAAGATAAGGATAATTTTGTCTCTATATTCTTTTCATACAAGAAATCCGTGAAATTGAAATACGAAGGGAGGCATGAGATTATAGTTTTGTGAAAAAAATGGAATTATAATTCTCTTTAACCAAATGAATGAATTTACTTTGTCTTCAGAATTTGGTAAGAGTGAAATTCTAATTTCCTCTAACCAAACAAGCTGTTAAAATTCATCCACAGACTTTTATCCAAATTGCTCTTTTAGTTCATAATAATTAGAGTAAATACCCAAAATGGTCCCTCGACTATAGCTAAATTCACAAATTGGTCATCGACTTTCAATTTCAACCAATTAAGTCCTTAACTTTGAAATTTTGACACGATTTGGTCCTCCATCTATTTGACCGTTTGTTGACCGCGATCTTTGAGGATATATATGTAGTTTCACGTGCAAAGCTCAAGAGAACGCTCTTGGAGGTGACATTGTTGTTTCGGAGGGGGAAGTGCTTCTCCGCTTGCTGCTTGGGGATCACGAGCCGGTTCAGCTTAGAGAACGCTCTTGGAGGTGACATCGTTGTTTCGGAGGGGGAAGTGCTTCTCCGCTTGCTGCTTGGGGATCACGAGCCGGTTTAGCTTAGAGAACGGTCTTGGAGGTGGCAGCGCCGTTTCGGAGGGGGGGAGTGCTTCTCCGCTTGCTGCTTGGGGATCCCGAGCTGGTTCAGCTTGCCTACATGGAGTCACGGCTTTCTCGAAGAGCCACTCCAGGGACTTCGGCGATCTATCTATCAAAAGCTATAGTCTCTCCCGCATGGGGTGCAGCGCCGGCAGTGGATTCAAATGTAACAGTGTGGTCTAGAAATACAACCGGAACCTTAAAAAACCGACAATGGACCATGAAATTACATATATATCCTAAAAAAGTGCAGTCAACAAACGGTCAAATAGACATAGGACCAAATTGTGTTAAAATTGCAAAGTTAAGGACTTAATTGGTTGAAATTAAAAGTCGAAGACCCATTTGTGAATTTAGCTATAGTCGATGGACCATTTTGAGTATTTACTCTAATAATTATAAGGTAATTATTCTTGTTGTCTTTAGTTATTAGGCAATACCTTTTACTATGATTTTCTTCACTTAAGATATTTTAATGTATTGTAACTTTCCACATCTACATTGAAAATCTTTAATTAGTTTAAAATTTTGATGACGAACCAATAGAATTCAATAACAAGATTATTGAATACTTATATATTTTACCGTTAATAAATTTGATTTCTTATATACGCAAATATTTAAAATCAATACTCTCAATAATATATGATGCAAAATTTGGAAAAACCATATATATACCATTTGGTGTATGTCTTTTCATAATATTAATGATTAATGAAGTGTACCCTTACTACCCATGTAGCAAGGGAATCCCTATATATAATAGGAGGAAAAAAAATTGTTTTTAGTCTTTCAAATATTTGTGATTAGTTATTTTGGTTCAAAAAAGTTACAAAAATATTATTGTATTTTTGTAAGATTTGTGACCATTTTAGTTATTAGAAATCGAAACATAAGCAATGTTTTCTTAGATTTAATTATTTTACTTAGAATGCTAAATTGTTTAATGCCCACTTACAAAGACCAAAATCGTCACAATCTTGAAAGGTTGAAAATATATTTTGAATGAAAAACTTTATATGTAGTAGCATGACAAGTTTAAGTTTAAGTTTTTGTTCAAATAAAAAATATAAATGTGTCATTTCTAATTAGTAATGTTTAAGTTTTTATCTAAAATAACTCATTATATCAAAACAGAGACTAATATGCCATCTTAGTACCTAATTAAGAGGTACTATTATATTGCAAATCTATGTTAATTAGAGATAAAAATTACACTTATTCTATAACTTAGAGACTTAAACTACAAATTTTCGTTTTAAAAATAAGAAATCAAAACAACTAATAACAAATAATTTTAAAAAAATCAAAAATGTTATTTTTGCCAACACTATATATGTAGTAGCATGACAAGTTAACTATAGAGTTCTTAATTACTTATTTAAGCAGCTGTTTGGATGATGTGACCTCAATAAGTTTTGATTACTTAATTATGGAGCCACCTTATCACGCCTGATTTTACTTGTGGTAGCTGATGATGAGAAAATGAGAACCTATGGCGTGCGTGTGAAAGCAATGTTAGTATTAATTTTAGATTGTTTCACGCGTGCTGTTTATTTATTATTAAAAATATTTTAATAATAATGGCAAGTAAGAAATTCAACTCTAGTAAAATATGGACTGTAAAGAGTTTGTTGACATTTTAAAAAAAAATAAGAATCAAATTATGCAAGCGCGACACAAGCTGAATTTAAATTAATCTCACAGTGGTAGCCTGGTTGTAATATAATGCATGTTAATTTTTGTATATAACATATATCAAATAAGGTAAAAACTTGTGCGAGACTTTCTCACGGATCCTTAAAAGTATTATGTTTTCCCTTGCCAAGACTATGTGATCTAATGGTACCCGGGTTGGACTTCCATTTGGAAGGTTGTGAGTTCGAGTTTTAGTGGAGGCGTTATTGGCTCTTTGTATTTCAGTAGGTTGAGAAAGTATATGATTAGATACTACATTGTAATAGAGTCAGTAGCATTAAAAAAAACACATGCTTTTGGTATTACATTTGCATATTGACCGACCCGTCTTGCAAATAAACATCCGTGAGACGGTTGTCCCACACAAGTGTGATCCATAAAATAAACTTACACATATAAACTCAATAGTTTGGGGCAGTTGGTAAATGGACTACTAATGTAACTATAAGGTCAAAAGGGTATGTCGTTTTAAAGAACACATGGTGGCTTTCCCAAATCCAATATTTTTTTGAAAGGAAGAACGAAAATTCATTAAATCAAAGCCGAAATACATTCAGGAGGATGTGTAATCCACACCCCAAGGACAGATGAAGAACCAACAGCCTGTGCAAACACGTGTGCTACGCGATTCGCTGGCCTTTTGACATGACCAAATCCAAAATAATCTTACATTGGTGAGAAAACAGAAAATGTACGCAAAGAAAAAAAATGCATGAGATAATTGCACAATCATTTTTATTCATTAATAACTTTTTTTTACTACTACCGATCGACTCTGTTACATTAATAACTTATAAATTAATCAATATGACAATAAATTAATTAAATAAGTAAATAAAATTATATAAATATTTAAAGTTTTTATATAGATTAAATATAATGTTAACTTTATTGTATTATTAACTTCCATTAATCTAATGTAAATTATACTTTTGGAAGTTGAAGCATAAAAATAGGTAGTTTTTTTTTTTTTTTTTTTTTTTTCTTACTGCTCTAGCATTGAAGACTAGTGGAAGAACAAGTTCTAGATATTTGATTAGATGTGTGTAATTCTTCCCAGTTTTCTATGTCTGTATATATAGATACACACAATTTAGAAAATATGGGTTTGAAGTTCCGTGTACGTGATATTTATTTGAAAATGTAGCAAATAATTTTCCATGGTGGATGCCCTTTTCATTGGTTTTATGAGATAATTAATCGAGGTGATTGAGAAAAAAAATCGTTGATTATGAAGTTTAATTATTATTTTTGTACATTAGTCAAATATTGTTGGGGAAAACATTTTGTGAGTATCAAAAAAATATCCGGAAAAACAATAATCAAGAATATAATATTAAGCTAGCCTGTATTGTATACACTTTTATACAAAGTTTTAAATCACCATATATGAATACTATGGGTCTCAATAAAACTTGTGAAATATAAGAAATTGACAAATTATTCAGATTGCAACGAGATAACTGAACGAAGGGAGAAAAGCTTAAAATGTTATCTATAAGCTTTTATTAAAATTAAATTATACTGCACACACACACATATAAGCTCAGAAAAATGACAACAATATTTTAATTTTACAACACTAAAATATTATTTGAATTTCTGATAATTCTTCTTAACTTTTAACTTTAACTACT